CAAATGAGTTTCCTTTATTTTAAAATAGAAACCTTTTAAAAGATGTTGAAGAACGGCAAATGTCTAAAACCAGATCAAATTTTAAAAATTTGCCTGTACATTAAAAGCTATGAATACATGGGTGAATATATTGAGATGTCCCCCAAGTGAAAATGATTATTTTTTATTTTTGGTTGTTTCACTGTTAGTCTAGAATGGGGTTTTTGGGAAGCCACCAGGTCTAGTAATAACATAACATAAGTGGTTCTGCACTAATGCAAGAATTTTAAGAAATCATACATTTTGAATATTAGAGCTTCTCGGAAGATATCTTCACGGAGGTTAGGATTTCGTATGTTTTTTTTTAACCTGTGTATATTTAAAATAAGTTATTGTATCTTTTGACACCTTAATATTTTTTTAAAATACAATTGTACATACTTAAAATATTTATAAAAAAATCTACTTACTGAGATATTACACTTCACGGTGGATAGGTTTTTAAATGGCAAATTAATGAACTTAAACTTTTGAATTATTAAACAGCAACACTCTCATCTGCATATAAATTCTAACTGACCTTCAGGAATCACATGCATCTATAATGTTGTAAATAGAGGTTTTTGCTTATTTAAAATGATTAAAGCGCCATCCGTTGCATAAAGTTTAAAACAAAAACAGATTCACGGAGGATAGAATCAATTTTTGTAACACCTGCATTAGGGTGTCCCTTATTTTTAATTTTTTTACGCATACCCTCTAATTATATTTATTACGTGTTTATATACTCCCAGTAAAAATTTCAGCTCATTCTATAAACGGGAACCCGTGCCGACTTGCATCTGAACCCTCCGTGAGCCAACGTTAGGCGCGCGGTATTTTGTAACACGGTTGGCCGCGAGGTCTTCGATCTTAATCTTAAGTCATTTTGTGTTTGTTATTATGTGACCCTTATATTATAAATTATTAAAAAATGTTAAAATATAGTTTTATTTATGTGTATACTTTGATAAAAATGTATATTTTCACAGGGAGTGGCTAGTTACCCGGAAGAGTCTAGTGAATATGCCGTAAACTCTGAAATTGATAAACTTAATGGGATTTACTCTAAATAACTAAAAGAGTCTATTGTGAGAGATGACTACCGAAAACTGTCTGAAATATTTTTGGGAGGACATCAAGAAAAGAAATGCTTATAAAAAGCTGAAATTTCATATAACAGTAACAGTAATACTAATTAGTATATTAATAAATTTAAGGGATAAAATCAACAAATTTTTTTTTGGTTATTTTTAAGCTGTCATTAAGATATAATAAAAAAAAGAGTTTCGGGTAATTAGTTTTACGGCCTATTCACCCGACACTTCCGGGTAACTAGCCACTTCCTGTAAAAATATTCATTTTTATTAAAGTATACACATAAATAAAACTATATTTTAACATTTTTTAATAATTTATAATATAAGGGTCACATAATAACAAACACAAAATGACTTACGATCGAAGACCTAGCGGCCACCGTGTTACAAAATACCGCGCGCCTAACGTTGGCTAATGGAGGGTTCAGATGCAAGTCGGCACGGGTTCCCGTTTATAGAATGAGCTGAAATTTTTACTGGGAGTATATAAATACGTAATAAATATAATTAGAGGGTATGCGTAAAAAAATAAAAAATAAGGGACACCCTAACCTGCATAAATGGTTATAAAAATTATTTCTTTTAATTTTTAATGATATTTTATATTCGATTCGATTGCTTTGGATGTGTTTAATTTACTTAGTGAACTGATATTTTTAGTATGCTTTTACTACCTCAGATATTTGAAAATATATAGGTTAACCTAGAAAGAGTAACAGTCACGGAGGATATGTTTTAGACTTTTAAAACATTGTAAAAAATAATTAATTGTGGTTAAAAATCTGGAACCTGAGCTGTAATATCTACTTAATTATGAAAGATCAAAACACAATAAAAGTGTAGGTCAAACTCATCGGGGGACATTTCATGAGATTTACCCACATATATTATTTATTGAATTATAGAAATTGGTAAATGCAAAAAAATGATACCCTAAAAATTTTTTTGCCAGCACCTTTTCCGGTATAAGGGCCCCTACCAGATTTTTGATACAAGGCCCCCTTGAGGCTAGCTACGCCACTGATGGGGATACCTAAAAATTAACTTTGCTTTAAAAGAAATAATAGTAAATAAAAAAACTAACCTAACCAAACATGCCTCCTTACCTGTATTTTGATTTTTCCCTAGTATTGCCATTTGAGCAATTAATTTGCTTCCCATATTTTCACACCACACAAACAATTTCGCCAATTCTGCTATCTTCCCGATTTACAGGCATTGAAGAGAATCACGGATTAGTATATTCTTTTTACGTACTTTCGACCTACGCCACGAGTCCCTACCATTTGGCAACATCGCTGGGTCTCGGGACGTTGGTTGAATATGGTCATGCAGTATAAACGGGCGCGAGAAGTCGGTAAAATGATGCGGGTTTAAAAAGTGTTATTCAGTTTGCAACTTTTTTTGTAAAAAGAAAATGTTTCCCCTTGAAGCATGCTTATTGAGTTATATTCTTTAAAAGCTTATTTACGGTTTATATACTCGCCTAAATTACCTGGATCAAGTGGGTCTTAGGTAGCCTGTATAGTGTACCGGGACTGAAAACGTGGACCGGATAGATATATATATATATATATATATATATATATATATATATATATATATATATATATATATATATATATATATATATATATATATATATATATATATATATATAATATTTCGCACAACGCCATATGGCCCAGAAGCACAGCATTGTCCTCGCAATTCATGTTTTCATAGAAAACTTAACCTTTTGCTATTAAATTTTAGAAACAAAATTACAATCTGCATTAAAGTACGCATGCGCCACCAGTACCGCTACCGCTACTTTCTGAACTATAAATTGCAGAAAGTGATACCGCTACCGCTACCTTTACCTCTACCTTTACCGCTGCCTCTACCGTTACCTTTAAAACTATAAATCCAGCTTTACCGAAAAAAACGACACCGGCAATTTTTGACTTTGAATAACGCGGCATCAAATTTTGTGTAGCAACATCGCATTGCTTACGTCAAGTTTAATTGACATAAGAAGTGCGGCGTTGCCAGTGCATCCGAACAAACCTAATGACCTAGCATCGAATGTAACGAAATCGAATTTTGTGTGGCAACTTGCCAATCATTAGGTTTGTTTTCGCAACACCCAAGCAAGAGGAGTTATAGACAATTTCACGCTCTACAAAAAACATCTGAAGGTCAAAGTTCTTCAGGTCAACCGTTTCAAAGATATCAGCGATCAAAAATAACACTAATAAAAAATTTCAAATATTTTCAAATAAAATACAAAAAAATATCATATGCCATATTTATATTATTTTTTATGTAAAATCACTATAAGTCTGTAAGACTGTAAAATTGTAATGTAATATATACATAAAAAAAAGTTTACAGTCTCAGGTTAACAGAATTAAAGTGATTTTATATAAAAAATAATATAAATATGGCATATGATATTTTTTTGTATTTTATTTGAAAATATTTGAAATTTTTTATTAGTGTTATTTTTGATCGCTGATATCTTTGAAACGGTTGACCTGAAGAACTTTGACCTTCATATGTTTTTTGTAGAGCGTGCAATTGTCTATAACTCCTCTCGCTTGGGTATTGCGAAAACAAACCATTCCAAAGTTATAAGAATTCAAAATTTAAAAAATAAAAATTCCCGTGTTATTGAAATGGAAAAACAACAAATGAATTGAGGCAAACCTTAATATTAAGAGCTCAAATATGCGCCAAAATTTTTGTTTTTTTAATGTACCATTAATTTTTCAACACCATTAGAAAAAAAAATAATTTTCCGCAAAGTACATTTTAGAAATTCAGCGCGGCAACACTGGGTATATTGCTTATTGGTAATTTTGTTATATTACAATAGTTTCACAATGTTACGTTGCTGATATATTGCTTATTGGTAATTTTGTTACATTACAATAGTATCGCAATGCTACGTTATTGTTATATTGCCTATTGGTTAACTTGGAACGGTAACAATGTAACCATTATTTTAGGTACCTGTTGCGTTGCATTTAACATCGTTACATTGCAATGTGACTCCTGTTACATAACGTTAAATGTTGACCGGGAATTTTCCTATTTTATGACCACCACGTTCATGCTTTTTTAAGGTTTAATCACAGTATACTGTGGTTTAATGGTCTATTATTTTTTTAGGAAGCAGAATTTTTATAAAGAGCAACTTTTTTTCTTAAAATTAATAATATGAAAATTCTTTTGTGGGCCATTTTTAAATTATCCTACTTTATGACCGCCCTGTACACTTAAAGTTTTATTAGTCTAATTTTATTTTTTTATAAAGAGCAACTTTTTTTCGTAAAATTAATAATAAAAAAGTTTTCCATAAGTATATACTTCTCTACATATGTAGAGAACCTACGCGGACACACTGTATATATAATAAGTTTTATTGTAGATATAGAGAAAGTACTCTTTCTATGACCCTAGATTATCCAGGGTTATTAACTTATAATAAAAAATATAAAAATTAATGTCAGATTGACACATTTGTAAATTTTATAATAAGCATAAAAAAATAATCTTTTAAATAACAATTGAGAGTTTAATTAATTAGTTAATAATTTTACAGAATACTTCGTAAACTTGTTGTTATTAGGAAAAATCCACAAGTTTTCAAATTATCTGTCAAATTATTTTCAATTTCTCTTACAAGTGATATTAATGTTGAAAACGAATAAATAATAATAATAATGTCTTTATTGAATGTAAACATACAAACAAAAGTAAAAGTTCAGTACCCTACACTTGGTAGTTCACTTTAATTTCCAATACTATAATATAATATTAAGAAAAGAAATCAAAACGTAACTATTTTAAAAAATTTATTATTTTTTTTTTCTTTGTAAAGAAAATATAACTTATGCAAAAAATATGTTTCCAATAACTAAAATTAAAAAATGGAATTCTGTTTGCAATAATACTTTAAAGTTTAATTTAATTCCATTGGTTAAATTTCGGTAGAGTTTTAAAAAAATTGTAACAATAAAATATTATTGCATAAACTTTTTGGTGGACAATCACTAAAAAAGATAAACATTTCCATTCTCATGATTACAGCAGCATTGTGGGGTACCTAATTAATAAGTTTTTGTTAATAAAAAGTATTTCTACATTTGACCAAAAATTGTTTTCCTTTACAGCTTTAAAACGGCTTCATTATATTATGTGTTTTATAATGTTGAATTTTTTGGCACTGCACCCTTAAAACCAAAACCATTTCACTGCATGATGAAATATATAAGATATCTTTTTTAAATATGCAAATCACATTTGGTATATGAGAATGGATCATTACCTTTATTTAAAAAAATATTTTCAAATCCATTTTTGCCTACTTTACAGCTTTTCATCTAAATCATGATTAACCAATGACGATTGACAAGCTATTTCATGGAAAGACTGTTCAAGACAATGCTTTAGCTCTGCATAGGAAACCACTAAAATACTTTGTTCATCCCTGGACATTAAACATATTTTTTCAGGTACACCAGTATCTAACTTATTAAGACACTGAATTATGTGAGCCATATCCAACCAAGGTTGACCATCATCTGTTACTTGATGAAACACATAATCCCTAAAAAGTTTTAACATATAGCGATCTCCAGTTTCAGACCATGCTGCATCCATGTTGAATTCTGGACGTTCATTAATTGTAGCCAGTTTAGCCATTAATCTTAGCAATCTTCCATTTTGAATCTCTTTAGACAATTCATGATCCAATGCTTCAATATGATTGTGTAGATTGTCAAGTTGTGTATAGAACCTTGCTCCAATCATTGGCATCAAATCAGTTACACTTCTCCTTTGTGTAGATGATAATAAATACATAATTAAATTTCGAAGATCAGATGTATAGGATCGGCTGACCATATCTAAAGCTGTTGATACGTTTTCTCTTTGAACAGCCATTGTGGATTTACAAGCCAATGCAACAACTAATTTTCCAAGAGCAGTTAGATCTTCCTGTTGGTAATGTTGAATTAGAGCCAAATGATTAACAGAGGTGTTGGACTCACTTAGTACCACATCCATCATTCCTAAACAACTTAGTCTAAGCCTACTTTTAGAAGTTAAGATTATTTTTGTTGGGTCCAAACTTCTGCATGCAAGAGCAGATGAATGTATTATTCTTAATGCAGATGTCAGTTGAATAATGTAATTCCAAATAAGAGGTTCAGGCAACTTGTTATTTTGTTGATGCCTCATTAGGTTATTCTTTTGGTAACTATATGGCCTTGGAGTGCTAGAATCTGTAAAGGGGTCACAGTAGCCTGGCTGGTCAGTTGAAAAATGTTTGTTAAGTAATGTTTCAGACCCAGGGTGATAATCATAAACAAAAATCATAGAGTTGTCACCAAATGCTTTTGTAGTAAATACTTCTTTTAACTGTACAATATTGGAATGTGATATCTTTTTCCACAGCTCCACATATGCCATGCATTTGGTATTTTGCAACCGAAATGCATGTATTCTTCGAAGGCAATAATGAACACCTGTTTTAATATGAGTAGCCTTGTACATTGAGGTTTGATGGCCCAAGTGAGGTTTGTGCATGGCATTGTTAATAGGTTCTAAAGGAAACAATTCATGATAATTGTCAACTTCCAATGGTAAGTCTGGGTATTGCTGTGGATCTGGTTGAAGTAGAGTTAATACATTACGATTTAAAATGTCAGTTCGTAAGTCATCAGATATAAAAAAGGATTTCTCCTGTTTAACTGTATATACATTGTATTCTCCAGTTATGTTAGAGCCAGTGGGTGTGGCTACAACAGGCTCTGTATTTTCAGATGTACCACCACCAGGGTATTGATAAAAATAAGTTGTTCCTCCTACATTTTCTTGGTATGCAGACATACCATTGTTTCCTTTGTCATGTAAAACTGGAGATGAAGTATTAGGGGGTGGTGATGTTGATTGAGGTGAAACATGAGTGGAAACCTCTGACTCCTCATATTTTTTAACAAGTGCTGGTGAAGTATTTAAAGGTGGATATGTACTATTAATGATGTTTGGTGAGGCTGACAAGTTGGAGCTCAAAACTCTAGGAACAAATTCATTTGCGTGAGCTAAAAAAAAGATACAAATAAGCAACAGATTTTTTTTATTGATAACAAAAGTATTACTTGCTCTGGCTAATTGGGAAGATAAAACCGTGGAATGAGAACGAGAATGATTATGAGAAACCCAATCCATGAGTCAGTAAAAAGTATCCACTTTTATCACAAATTTCTTTGATTAATTTAAGTTTTCCTGCTACATATGTTTATCAAAAAACTTTCGAATGCTATGACAAAGAACATCTACATGTATACACTGCTCCATGTCCACTACAAGTACACAATTTTATTAGCATTACCAAAACTACTTTCTAACAGAGTAGACAACATTATAAAATTTAAAGCAGTGTTGCCAATCTACTAACATGGTGTAATTTTCTAACATTTTTTAATGCGGTGTAATTTAAGTGTTATTTTGGACTAAAGCTGGATTTAAGCTAGATTTATAGTTTTAAAGGTAACGGTAGAGGCAGCGGTAAAGGTAGAGGTAAAGGTAGCGGTAGCGGTATCACTTTCTGCAATTTATAGTTCAGAAAGTAGCGGTAGCGGTACTGACGGCGCATGCGTACTTTAATGCAGATTGTAATCTTGTTTCTAAAATGTAATAGCAAAAGGTTGTTTTCTATGAAAACATGAATTGCGAGAACAATGCTGTGCTTCTGGGCCATATGGCGTTGTGCGAAATATTATATAATAAACCCTGCAACACAATATATTATATATACAATAGGTATATTATGTTGTATTGCAGGCCCGGGTTTCAAGTACGTTATGGGGGTCGTCAAGTACGTCGCTATAAAACGAGGGAATTAAATCGGGAACGAGCTAAGAAACGCCATTTCCAGTATTAAAATAAAATACCTAAAATTGACCGATAAAGAGTACCTAATTCTTTAAATACACAAATAACGGTGCCCATTTTTGACAAATTATCAAGTCTGGTTGCCCCTCGCATAAAAACTAAGGCGAGGCTGCCAACTGAAAACTGCCGGAGTAGCGGTTGAGGTAAGAAAAGTTGAAAGATGGTCATCTCTTGCCGCTACCTTCTTGCCTCTACCTCTCTTACCGCTACCTCTGACAACTATAAATTGTTTCGTACAATATTCAATGCCGAACTCGGCTACCACCCTGACCGCTGCCTCCACCGCTGCCTCTTCCGTTACCTGTAAAACTATAGCCTACCTCTTAAGCTTGATTTATAGATTGCCTTCCTTTCTTCCTCCCTTCCACCGGTAGAAGATGAACAATACAATCCCGTACGGGAATCTACACTGAGAAAAAAGTTTATTGCTCCCAAATAAAAAAAATATTTAAATATGGGACAAGGAAACAGTTTATTTATCCCAAATATATTTTTATTCCCGACACATAAAGTTTTACTAAAGTATATTTATCGTTATTATTTCGACTATTTAAAGGTAATAAACAATATATTTACTATTAATAAAAGTATTAGCTACACAGTTTATTTGTCCCATTTTTTTCTCAGTGTATCAACGGCACTACGGTTTTCGTATTGTTTATCTTTTACGGGAGGAAGGAAGGAAGACAATCTATTAATCAGGCTTTAGAGTAAAGCTTAATTTTCATGTATCCGTTTGTCCGTCATCCGTATGTCAGTTTTTCAATAAAATCGTCCTATAAGAAATGTTCTAATTTTCATGCATACGTTTTTTAATGACGTTTAACGGATTGATTTTGCGACAAATAGAAGTTAAGTGTCAGTGTTAATAAATTTACCTAATGCGCAATTGTCATAGTTACAATTATGTCAACATGTTGCAATTGTAACTTTAACAATTCGCTGTCTAATAAATTTAAAGGTAGGTAAATATACCTTATAAAAAGAATATACTAGCCCTAATTTACATTAAAATGTATAGTTTTAAAAAAGCAGGTCCTTTTAGTTCTAGTTTTAATTTTTTTTTTGTTTGTCCTTTCTTTTTTTTTTCGTTATTCGTTATTAAATAAAAACTTAACAGTAAAACATTATTCACATAACGAACGTAATATTTTCGTTTTACAATCTTATCTTATTGCAAAAATATAAAAATATTTGAAAATAAATTATCTTAAAATAACGTTAGACGTCAAAAACAGATGTTTAGTGACGGATGAGTTAAAATTATTTAACCTTTCTCTGTCAGACGTACGAAGTTGAAACTTGACGGACCGATAAAATGTCATAATTTTCGAATAAGAGCGCTCCCGGATGAACGGACTGACGGATAAACGGATACATGAAAATTAAGCTTAACTACATCATTCGGGTTTCGTTCTTCGAAGAGTGCGCTTGGTTCATGACCTGTGACCCTGGAGGGACGAAATTGGAATCCCAGCACAAAAATACGCTGGTCAGTGTCATAAATACAAAATCTACAATAAATTTGTTAATGTACGAACAATTTCCACGATGGATGACTGAAATATTTAAAGAAAAGTCTGTGCATGTGCCATGTGGTTCATGGTTGGAATCATAGATGACCGAAGGTATAGATAGCCGACTCTCGTTAGAAAATCGAAACAAAGTTAATTTAACAGCGGATATCACCGCCGGTGGCGCTGCAAGCAGATAAATTCTATAAAGCGACATCTATTGCCCAAGGGCTTTACTAACAGCCTGGAATCTACAGTGCGACATCTAGTGTGTGATATCTATACTAACTTAAATCTCCTTGAATTTTAAAATTGTAAACCGTAAAAATTTTGTTTTAAATACAAATCTTGCTTGAATGAAACTGACTAACAAATATATTTAAATCGGTTAATTTTTATTAAAGACTTTCAGAAATTAATTATTATATTGTGAGACAATGAGTCCTTATAAAAAAAATTTAATATTAAAACCATTGTCTAGAAATTTTAAACAAACATATTTAAATATGTTGTATTTTCAGATGTCCAATAAGATTTGGTAAGCTTTATTATAAAATTCACCCATTTTAAAAGAAAACAAAATTTAATATAATATTACTAAGGCTTGAAGTTTTCATGCTTATGTTGGTTTTCTCTTAAGATGTTTGCATTTTATAATGAATTCTATCAAATCCAATAGAAATTCTTATTGGTAAGTTTCATACTAATCAGATTTGTATTTTAAAAAAACTTCTCACATTTTACAATTACAAAATTTAAGGCAATTTAAATATAACATTGTAGATTACAGGAGGCGATATACAATAACTGTATTAATTAATAATGAGTTTGAAAAATCCTTGAATTAGGAAAATGTAATAAAACAAACAAATTATGATTATAGATATTTTTTTAATGAAGTATATAAAAATAAAGTTTACAAGTATAAAACAAAGCAAATATAATAATATAAAAATAAAGTTTACAATTATAAAACAAAGCAAATAAGCATTAATGTCTAAACCAAAAAAAATTACTAATTTAGTTAACAATCTTTTTTAAATTTTTAATAGCCTCCTTCTTCTTCTTGGACTCATTTTTACCTATTTATAAGACCTTTTTTATATATTGTATTGGTTATTTCTAAAGTTAACTAACTTACGTCAGGATCCTTAGGAAACGAGTGTAATACTGCCTCGTTACTTGTATTTCTACAATTAACAACAGCACATTTAAACACCATTGTAAAAAAGTCAAACAAAATCGCACAAAAGGAAAACTTGTTTGTCTAGAACAAAGCTGGAACAAAACCTTCGGTCATTTATGAACACAACAATAATGGGATCTCTAAAGTTTAAACGAAAATTTGACAAATTGTCAAATTGACAAATATGCCACCTAAAAAAGCGTGTTATTTAAATTCTGCTGCTTCAGCGCTATAGTCGATCCTATCCGCAACTAATTTTAAGGTCTGAAAAGGAAGGGGGAAAAAAATAATAGTCGTTTTTTCGCGTAAATACTATAGTAAATTTAAAAGTAAACTACGTACACGTCATCAATAAAACAAAAATTTTACGCATTGGTACCAACACTAAATGACTAAATCGAAGTCTGTAATTGAATATTTGAATGCATTTTAACCAAATTAAGTTGGCAACAATTGTGATGTTGTCATGTTTACATTCAAATTTTTCATATTATATATAAAAAAGAATTTGACGTTTTAGAATTTCGAAGCTGTCAGTTGTGTTTTTGAATATTTCGTTTAATTCGTGTATTATTTCGTTTATTTTGTTTGTTGTTTGTGTTATTTTATATCGTTTAAGTTTTCATTGCCGTTTTTGTGTTTGTTATATATCGTTTTTTTGTGTTTCCTATATTTAAAATGCCGAAGCATTTAAATAGTCGGAGTCAAGAGTTGGTGTCATCCTTAATACGCTATTTTGAGGCAGAACGGGATAATAATGGACCTTTGTTACCTTTAACAGCTGTTAGAGAGGTAAATAGGATTATTATTAATTATATATTAGAATATTTAACAAAATATATGTTGGATACATGAAATAATAATATATATACCAGAGACTGACTTTAGATGGCAAAATTTTTGAGTTTTATATCAGAAAATGTCTTTAAAAATGGCTAAAAACATACTTTTGGCGGTGCATCATATAGGTTATAAAAACTCAGACTTTTGACATTTTCGTATTATTCATGTAAACGCCATCTATCGCCCTGTAGTTGCACTACCACTTTCCCTTGATGCAAGGATTTTAGCATCACATTGACAACCGCTGATTGATGACGTGTACGTAGTTTACTTTTTAATTTCGCGGCCAAATCTGTATGGGTGCACGTCATCAACGGCATATTACGTCAGCGTTAAGGTCTATTCATACGTGCCCAGACACAATCTAACGCTCGTGTATTGTTGACTGTTTATAGCGGTTGGGGCTGTTATTAAGATGGAATTATAACGTCCTTGTTATAATCTTCTGCACTAACTAATTAGGAGTTTGTTACAGGCAAATTTATATTAAATGTGTTTAAAGAGAAAACAAACGGAGTTTATTACATTTTTATTACATATGCACATAACAATAACAATTATCAGAAACAAAAAAATAATAAATTACCAGTCGTCCTTGTCATCAGAGCAAACCAGGTCAGAATTGAAGTCTGATTATTTCCCCAAATTTATTATTAGGGGCGCAATGTCTTCGAAATCTAATAACGGCTAGTTGCCAACAAGCCTTATATCATTGTTTGCACAATCCAGGGATTGAATCTTATAAACATAATGTATAATATTATTTATAATAATTTGCAACAAACGATGCACATACAGGTATTTGCACGATCTACGCGGCCAAAATTATTTTTACGCTTAATTGGTATCTAAATAACGTAAATAAA